ATGCTCCTTTCAGATAGAGGTAGAAGTAGCTCACAGTATTTGTTTGGCTATAGAAGAAAAGTTCTCCATGATCTTTTGGTTTTTGGTGTCAAAGGTCAATGTGATTTTACTGACTGCAAAAACCTTCCAGGTGAAAGTCGATACTCACACCTTCTTCAAAGTCAATATGCACAGTCTTATGCGACTGGACTGCAAAAATAAGAGTCAATCCAAAGTTTGGATACACTTGTACTAGTTCATTATTTTCATTCCATATGATAAGTAATCATAGTAATCAAATAACATCACTTGACTTCTTCTGTAACCCAGCTGAGCTTTTGTTGAACCAGGAAATTTGGTAATTTGGTACTTTGGGGTTTTTTGTTTTTTGTTTTTTTTTACTAAATATGCTCGACAGCTCAGTTAGAGGAAGACTAAGCTATGAATACACCTTTACAGTCAATTAAAATGATTAGAAATGGCACTGTAAAATTTCTCATTTATAAATATCATATGGTAAATGGTAAATGGCCTGTATTTATATAGCGCTTTACTAGTCCCTAAGGACCCCAAAGCACTTTACATATCCAGTCATCCACCCATTCACACACACATTCACACAATCATATAAATCTCATTGTTGTTCTGTTGCAAATTTAATTTGTTCAGAAATTTTTTTTAAGTAATTATTACCTTTATAAGGAATTTGTTGCAAAGGCTTTATGTTCACTCTGTGCTTTTGTGCATGTTATTTTATTTATTTATTTACTTACTTACTTTTTAATGTGTCTCAGATAATGAGAAACGCCCACGCTCTGCGGTGTGTTCCAACCTTTTGGAAACTGAAACATTGGTTCTTAGTGAGAACCAGACCTTGTCAGATCTGATCTCTGTGTTGTCTGGAGACACCGTTGTCATCTTTACTTTTAAAGACCTGGGGAAAAAAACAAAAAGGCATGCTAAACTTGCTAAGGAGTAATCTTGGTGCTAGACATTATGTTTGTGTGAAGTAATGCAAATTTTCTGTTGGTTGAAAAGGCCCTTGTGATACTGTTTTGCTGTGGATGATCAGGCAGCATTTAGCCATATTCTGTACGTGACTTGATCAGACATTAAAAGAAAAAAAAAAAGAACAGCTGAGGCTTCTTCTCGTAGCTGCAGAACATGTGCATTGTTGTGCTCTAGGGTGAATTATCCCATCATGCGTCTGGTACATGTTGTGGTGCATGTCTGCTGTGGTTTGCTAACATATGTTAAGTCATTGTTCTGCTTTAGAGCATGGTAGGTCATGCAATACTTTTAGGTAAAGCCTTGTTCTGTTTATCGGAACTCATTTCCCATATTTACAGGAATCATGCTGGATGTTTCTGCATGTGCCGTTTGGAAGGTTTGAATTGCCGTTTTGTTTAATATACTCTGTAAACTGTGTGCAGACAGATTTTTATCTCTGTGAAAAATAGGAGGCTATGTGGTAACATCCTCTACTCAGAAGTATGAGGACTTTGTCCTTTGCACTCGCTGAATTTAGAAAACGGATGTTTAATTTTGTGAACGTGTTGAAATGCAGATGGTGAAGTGATACCTGATTATGAACTGAACCAGTCTGCAGACAAAGGTCACTCAAAGAAAAAGAAACAGCAAGATGATGGTGTATTTCGCAGGTAGTCTGATGCACTTTGATCAACTTTTTAGAAAGGTTAACTGGAATCTTCTACACCTCATATGTGTAATAAATCAGCCCAGTTAGACAGAGAACCTTGTACACATTTAACATGAAAAAACACAGGACAAGGAAGTATAGGTCGAAGAAAATATAAATAAGATTTTATATGAAAGTTCTGATAAAATCTACACTTAGCTGAGATAAGTGTTTTTCCTAACAGGGAAAACTTGCAGAGAAGAATGTTTCTAACCCAACAGATTATTTTTTATTAATTTTTTTTGTTACTATGCTGATTATTTCTGACTCGAAATTAGATTAGATTGTATCTACTTTTATATTTTTTTAGCTGCACGTTACACTTGTTTTTAACCCTCTGAATTTCCCGGAGGAACCCACCCGAGGGATTAATAAAGTTTCATCTAATCTAATCACTTCGAGGTGTTTTTACCTGCAGTTAAACTCAAATTATTCGAATTGCAGTAATCAAAAAGTAGTATACACTGCAGTATAAAGCTGCATTTCTTTAAATGTAAGGATTGTTTGAAAGGACTAAAGGGGCTCTTTATACCTTCTGCAAGAAACAAGGAAAGCTAGAACAGTTTGACAGTTCTTTTCTGTAGACCAGTAGGTGGCAATACAGAAGAGTCCTTGACCAATCAGAAGTATTCATCGCTTCAAGCCCCATCCCCAAAGTTTTCATGCTTTGACAAAATACTGCCTACCAAGTAGGGACTTGGGGGTAAAATAATTTCCCCAGCGTTTAATTTAGACTCAGGTGTCCGCAGTGGAAATGCAGTTGAAATTCCTTCAAGAGTTTCTACTCTCAGGGGAAAGCTCCTGTGGTTAAAAAGTGACGTGTATCTCTGCAGTCAAGGCCAAGTTTTCTGTTTGTGTCTGCTGGTTTATGAATTTAGATTCATTTTTTAAAAAGCTAATAAAATGCTGAATCTGTATCAGATGTGTCCCCCCTGTTGCTCGCTAGGCAGACTGTTTACCTTCAGGAAACAAAATCCTCCTTTACTACAAGTTGACTTTAAATAGAAACCAAAAATCTTGTCCCCTGCATTTGTATATGCAGATCAATTTATAGAGATTGCATGAAAGGTGCAAAAAAGTGGATATGATATAATATATATAAAGTATATATATCTGACCTTCTTCACACTTGGCCAGCAGCCTCAACCACCCGTCGACTCATGAGCAACTTTTACACCTGTTCTCTGAGCCTTTTCTATGCGTGCTGTGGTAGTGGTGTTGGGGTCTGCTTGACACAGAGGGAGGAGGACAGCTGTCAAAACTCACAGTCCCCTGCTAGTTGTGACAGACAGCTGTGAGGGGGTGGAGTCTGAGGAAAAACTCCCTGAGTCCACTTGTGTCACCAGCACTTGCAACTCCAACATTCTCACGCACGTTCATTTTTGGATCGTCTGCTAATAGCGGAAATATGACGTAAAAAGGGGCAAAATGTTCTTGCATCGAGCCACCAACGCACTGTGGTCAAGACTAAGCTCTGTTGCAGCAGTTGAGGTCAAAGGTCAGTGTGGATTTGGTATCTTAACTGAAAAGAGCTGGTGATGTCATGATATGGCAGCCTTCCCCTTTAATGTTGTCTACATGTTGTCTACATGTTGTAGTATGAGCGAGTAGGATGTGGCTTGCCCAGTTGTCATGTAGGAACACTTTGGTAATAACTAAACTTGTGACCCTGTTTCTTCTCAAAGCAGAAACCAGAAATAATCCTGCGCCTGTCATGTTGTGGTGTCTGCTGCAGGACTCATAAAGCAGTGTTGATGCCAATATGGAAACTTTAATTTCCCAAATACGATTTAAACTGCTGACTCCTTTGATTGCAAAGTTTCGATTGAGACTTCATGAACTCTTTCAAGTGCTCTAATGAGGAATGATGATTTTCTATAGTAGTGATACTCAAATCTGTGCTGTATTATGCAGTTGAGATCCATCTTTAGTTCAGCCTCTCAGCGCAGGAATGTGCTAATTAGCGAAAACAACTTGTCAGTGTCTGGAAAAACATATGGACTTTTGCTGCTCAATAAGTACTTGAAGCAGCTTATTTATCTGATATTTTCATGTTTTTGGATTGTTTGTGTCAGGCTCAGACTATTTTAGATAGAAGTGACAGAACCATTGTGTAAGAATTTACAATTAAGGAAGTCAGGATAGCACCTACCTTTGTCCATTGTGACACACTATTCAGTGGTATCACTCGACAAAGTGGTGATGTCCCATTGGGGTTGTGATCAGGCTGATTGAAACATTATGAAACCATAACGTTTGTCGATGCTGTGATCTGACTACCCTCCTTTCATTAAGAGCTGACTGTGTCGACCTGCTCTCTCACCGATGTTTGTTAAAGGAGCTCATGGTTATTCTACAGAAAGATTGTATACCCCCACCCCCTCAAGTCTAACAATACTATGATGTAAAGAGACTCCCCACCCCTAAGAGCAGCTGACGGGAGCTGAATTTTATAGGGTTATGTTTCTGCCAGCTTCAGGATTCCTCGAGCCATCCTTTGCTGGTGTTGGTTCATTAATCTACTTTTATTTTTAGTCTTGATTTTGGCTGTGAATAATTATGAAAAACAAGATAATCTGCTTCTGCTTTTGGGTTGTGCTGAATACAGGGTGTGCTTTATTTTAAATATGCCCTTTTCTGTGGCATGTTTAGTTCAGTTTACATTTATTTATAGATTTGTATTTCTCCACTTGAATTATATATATATATATATATCATGTATGAGGCATCTACTTGTACCCACTCAGCGACACAGAATCCAGGCTCTTGAAGCATGAGCACATGCATACGTATACAAAATCTAGCTTCCTCTTGCTCACATGAGTGTAGGGGATGCAAGTCTTCCCGGGGGATTAAGAATAACTTCCGGTTTTTGAGCAGAAATAGAAATTTAAAAAAAAAAAAAATCCTAACAAAACTGAGCAAATGATCTCATCCAGTTTTTCTTGGCTGCTGGCTAAAGTCAGCCCATTGGTAGATGTCTGTGCCCGAGTACAGGCTTCCTCTTTTAGTTTGGCCTGGAATATTATCTGTGCATGTCCTTACATGTCCAAAAAGCTGTAGCCCCAGAACCTTGTTGCATAACAGTTGTTGTATTCTGTGCTGACTTTAGATTTGGCTGTTTGTAATTCAGTGAGATAGAATAGTGGGTGTAAAGTAAAAATGGCTTGTGGTGAGCTGCTATGGGTAAAGAGCACAGAGACTTACTGAGAAAAACTAACATGGCATCATATAAGCCGAGGCCTGAGAGCGACTACTTTAAATTCAAAGTAGTCAGTGTGATACACGCGATTCTGACTAATTATAGTTCATATCATTGTGGCTGATATGAACTCGAGTAACTGTCTGCTTGATGTCTGTAATTTCTATCGATCAAGCAACAGAAGTAAAAAATGACTTCTTGCTTTAAAGCTTAAAATAAGGTGCAGACATTCTTTGTAAGCATCAGTGTCCGTTTGGCCTTAGGGTGACTAATGCAGCTCTTTCATGAAAGCAGTTTTGCAGTACATCAATAACCGTTTACGTTGTCTTTCTCCGAGTCAGATTATAACTTCAGTTCTGCCCTGGTACCTTTATGAAACCCACAAACACTGGTTGTTTGCAGTCGAGCACAGACCGCTTTGGTGAGGACAGTCAGCCATTGATCCACCAGGCTTTTCACACCTTCTCAGATTCCCACAAGTCTTTTCACTGATGTCTTACAGACCTGCTTGTGTTTTAGAACAAAGAATGAAGACTTATTGTTTTGGAAACAAGGTGGGGGGTTTTTCAGTTTAACAGCCTCTGTTGAGAAACTTATCAGTTTTCTCCTCTGTTTGATTTTAACCCTGCGATGTGTTAAATGTCGTGTCTTTCAGGATCCTCAGAGTCTTCAACATTTTCCAGTTTGCCCAGTAGGACCAGCAGTGCCACCAGCTGCCCCTCTTCAGCTCACAGAGACTCTGGCAGTGACATAGAGAGCTTCCTGAACGCAGAACCCGGATATGACAGCATCTTCAGAAAGGTCTGAGCCCCATCGACTTCAAATCAATGTTAAAGTGCTCAAAAACAATTATTTTAAACTAGTTTAATTATCTGTGCAAAGTGAGAAAAGCAAATGAGGACAAATCTGTGAAAAAATATATATTTAAAGTAAGTAAGTAAGTAAGTAAAAATGTAAATAAAAACATTGCCCCTATATATGCTGTAGAATGAACGTCTTACACATCCAAACTGCAAACACATCAATCATTAAATGTATAAATGAGGAAAAGTGTAGCAGCAAATTCCTTGTTTACTAAATCCTTGGCTGGCTGTGGTCCAAACATCCGGTTCAGTCAAACACCAAGAATATATTTTGCCTCTGCAACTGCTCCTATAGGGATTATATACTATATATGAAGTATCTATTTTCTCAGTCTGTGTCTGTTTTTTATTTATTAGTACCCTGAGGCAGAGATGCCAAACATCTACTAAGCATCTTTTTAAGCCGGCAGCTCTCCTCCGCTGCTGGGAAAGTGCAAGCTGTGGTCCCTGCTGTCACTCTGCTGCTGTTGAAAGTCTGTTTGAAGCCAGGCACCCTTTGGTTAAAGTTGAAACACTTGTATCTCTCAGTTTCTGCTGTGTTGAGCACTTGAAACATGCTCATTGTAATGTGAACCGTATGTCATGTTTGGTGCAAACAAAGCTAGAGAAGAGAATATCAGCTGCCTGGGAGTATACAGTGTGGCGCTGAGGGTTGGGACGCTGTAGATAGGCCGTGATGGGCAAAATGAATCCGCACAAAGACTACAGGAGCTAAATTCTGAAAGAGAGGATTAACGTCTTTGCTGCTCTCTGAAGGGAAACGCTTCTTTTGTGAAATGTAATACTGTAAATGTAGAA